TTCAATTTAAGATGCCATGCAAACCAATCATAAAAGTCTTCTACATATAATATTGAACATTTTTATGGCTAGTTTGCCATTTTATGGCTTAAATTGGGTGCATGTGTAGCATCTCTGCCACTTATACAAAGATCAACATGTTAATCGTGACATAAATATAACATGTAGAGAAGACCAGAGCCTTTTTTGAAGACGTTCATGTGATACTGTTCTACATAGGGGTGAACTTCACTTTACTTCACTTCTCAAGCTTGCTTCAAGAGAGGGCTCCTCTGCTGAGTTGAGGTAGGTATCCAAACTGTTAAGAATAGAAATTGACTAATCTTCTGTTTCACTTGGCACCCTGATCAGTAAAAAAAAATTGATTCTTTCTGTTCAACTCAGTAGTACACCATGTTACAACACCCCTTTCTTACCATGCCTCTGCACTGGGCTAAAGGACAACTGAGTATAAAGGTAACATAATGGGAAGAAGTTGAATAATCTTAATCCCATAGAACCTTAAAAAAAAAAAAAAGAGAGAGAGGCCTCAAAACTGGCATATTGGGGCTGAGTTGTCTTTTGTTTTTTTAAATGGTAGAAAATAGGATGCAAAACAGAAATAGGATGTTGGCATACAAACATGGAGGGAATACCAGAGAGAAGATGGTAATTATATATATATTTAAAAGAGAGAGACAGATGTGCAGGGAAGGAAGTGTTCCATCTGTTGTGGCCTGCAACCATTTTATTTTCCATTCTTGCCCTGGTTGAGAGAGATTTTTTTTTAAGGCTGTGAAAATATTATGACTAGCGAAGTAGTTTTGAGATTGTACTGCATCTTGATTAATCGAGAAAATCCATAGGTAAGATGATCTGGGCTCTAGCCTTTTATACAATACCTTAGAAAGTGGAATGGAAAATTTATTAGACTATGAGCTTTGTTCCATGAAGTAGCAAACTTTTTAGGCTGAGCAACCCAGTTCAGATCATGGACAGGCAGGTACTAGGACACAGCTGCTGCTGCCACTGCTTTTTCATGTGGCAGCACAGGAAAGTAACTGCTATGGAAGCCCAGTGCCGCTGAGTGCCACCAAAGCCCTGTGTCTGTAGGCCAGATCAAAGGGCTCTGTAGGCTGGATCTGGCCTGTGGTTTCTAGGTTGATGGCTCCTGCACTAGAGCATAGCAACAAGAATGTAAACTGAAGGTAGCCAGAGCTGGGTGAAAGATTGGCAGTCACTTTCACATTCATATTTCACATCTGTTCACAAATTGCTGCCGATAGCATAACTATATTACCCAGATGTTGCTAAAGAATTCCTGGTCTGCAGATTATGTGAACCATACATCCCTAACACACCAGATGGGATGGTAAAGAAGCAAGGGTATAGGCTGTGCCTCTCCCTTCCCACAACTTTGTCCTGGTGACCAAATGAGGTTCCCCAAATTTTACTGAATACTCTAGGAAGGGTGGACACCCCTGAAGCACCCTCCTGTCACTGATACATCACCCCAGTGTGATTTTTAGCTCTTAGTAAAGCAATTTGACCCTAAAGAGAGTTTGGGTGCCTGTGGACATGCTCTGACGTGATTAATAGAGTCTGCTGCAGCATTCTAATTCAACTAAAACTTGTTGAATGAGCTTTAGTCAGTGTCCCCATGGCCATTTTGAAATTCAGGGTGCTTAATACATGTGACAGTGAAGCGTTTTAATTAGAGCGGCTCTCCAGGAAATGCTTTAATTAAAACATGCTCCCCCCACCACCTCTGAGCATGTCTTTAGGCATTCTTTATGACTAAATTTAAAGAGCTAAACATGCGTAGTTTAGTCATTAAAGAGATGATGAGGCAACACTTGAAGGGTTAAATGCTTGGGAGGGGAAGGAATTGTGTGTTGGACAGTCCCAGGGCAGGTAAGTAATGGGATGAAATGAAGACAAGGAAGATGTAGGTGGAAAGTCAAAAAATAGGGCAAGGCTAATTAGTTTGTGGAATGACCTCCCAAGGGAGGGGATAGAATCATAGAAGTAGGGTCGGAAGGGACCTTGTAGATCTTCAAGTCCGCCCCCCTGCCTGGGCAGGAGGAAAACTGGGCTCAAATGACCCCAGCCAGGTAGGCGTCGAGCCGCTTCTTAAAGACCCCCAGGGTAGGAGCCAGCACCACTTCCCTTGGAAGTTGGTTCCAGATCCTAGCCGCCCTAACTGTGAAGTAGTTCTTACAGATGTCCAATCTAAACCTACTCTCCAACAACTTGTGGCCGTTATTCCTTGTTATCCCGGGGGGCGCTAGGGGAAACAAGGTCTCCCCCAAACCCTTCTGGTCCCCCCTAGTGAGTTTATAGACAGTCACAAGGTCCCCCCTCAGCCTTCTCTTGTGAAGGCTGAACAGGTTCAGGTCCTGTAGCCTCTCATTGTAGGTTCTGCCCTGCTGTACCTGGATCATGTGGGTGGCCCTCCTCTGGACCCTCTCAATGTTGTCCACATCTCTCTTGAAGTGGGGTGCCCAGAACTGGACACAGTACTCCAGCTGTGGCCTGACCAGTGTCGCGTAGAGGGGGAGGATCACCTCCTTGGCCCTACTTGAGATGCACCTGTGGATGCATGCTAAGGTCCAGTTAGCCCTGCCGACCGTGACCTTGCATTGTTGGCCCATGTTCATCTTGGAATCAGCGAAGACTCCAAGATCCCTTTCTGCCTCCGTGCTCTCAAGAAGGGAGT